ATAAAAGAAAACCTTAAATACTGGGAAGAAAACAGCCAACGTCATCATCAGCAACACTTTCTAGGAACTGGTCATCTTGGATTTAAAGGTATATCTAGATACCAGTGCATTGAATCTCTTTACACTTTCTTCCTGTGTGTAGTAGACTTAGTCTACTGCATAGAGGATCCTTCCAAATGTAATTTCATATATACATATTTTTTTTATTTTTTTTTTGTGGTCTGGGATAATATGTCAAAGTCATAGTAGCTGGTGAAAGTCTGTTGAGGTGGGGTAAAACACAAAAGAAAAGAGGGCTTACCTTATAAAATTGTAATGCGAAGAACTAAGGGAGAAGAGGATGGGCCAACAAAAGGTCTTGCGCAGTATCAGTTTGGGAGTGAGAATGATTTAACAAAGCCCCTCCCACAACTCCAGGATGACGCATTTTCATTTGTCATCGGGGACAATAGTCCAAAGTCATAGTAGGTGGAGAAAGTAGGTTGAGGTCAGGGCAAATGAATGGTGCACACACATACTTGCTAATAATAACCATTCTAAGACACCAGTACACACTCACCAAATTTTCCTGTCTTGTCTCCGGTACAAGTTGTGGTGAGATTTGGAATTGCACTTTAAAAGCAACTGTAGCCTTGTTTTTGGTCTTTTTTTAGTATATACTAAGTATATAGGATCTGTATTTTAAAAATGTACTTGGACTTGGTCTCCCATCTACTGTAAAACCAATCAAGGAATCTACATCTTCTGGAGTATCCTATAGCATTCTGTTGAACGCAGACTACACCTGTAAAAGCTAGTTACCTTGGTATTTCATTTTCACCTTGTGTGTCTCTTGTAGAATCTGCTTAAACAAGTCTTATCATGGAATTTCTTATTTTTGTAATTTGGTGGCATAGGTGTCCTTATAAAGAAGTGCCATCTTTTCTCTTTCCAACCTTTACCTATTGGAAAGGATATGAGTGAAGATTTTTTGCCCCTCTTGTGGATGTAGCTAAATTAGCATAACTTTTATGCCCATACCCCTCTGCTTGCTATAGGCATTGCAGGAGAGGGCTGAGGGGGCTGAAGGCTCAGATGTAGGGCTCTTTCACCCTCTCTACAGCTTGTGGAGGAGGCTGGAGCATATTAGTATTTTGTGTTTTTTTTTAGCTTTGAATTTTATTTTAGGCAGTAGTTGGTCAGACCAGCTGCCTATTACAAAAAGAAGGATCAGTAGAATAGTGTTCCATCAAACTTCATAAAGGTAGGGAGTGGTACCCCCCTTTGGTGTCTGTCAGGAAGGGATGCTGGGAAAAAAACATTGCTGCATACTCCTCTATTAGTTGGGTAGTAAGTGAGTATTGCACAGAAAACCTTGCTGTGCAGCATGTGCTTGTTTCCAGTTATGCTTTCTTTAAAGGAACACTATATTCACCTAAATTACTTTAGCTAAATAAAGCAGTTTTAGTGTATAGATCATTCCCCTGCAATTTCACTGCTCAATTCACTGTCATTTAGGAGTTAAATCACTTTGTTTCAGTTTATGCAGCCCTAGCCACACCTCCCCTGGCTATGATTGACAGAGCCTGCATGCAAAAAAAAACTGGTTTCACTTTCAAACAGATGTAATTTACCTTAAATAATTGTTTCTCAATCTCTAAATTGAACTTTAATCACATACAGGAGGCTCTTGCAGGGTCGAACAAGCTATTAACATAGCAGGGGATAAGAAAATCTTAATTAAACAGAACTTGCAATAAAGAAAGCCTAATTAGGGCTCTCTTTACAGGAAGTGTTTATGGAAGGCTGTGCAAGTCACATGCAGGGAGGTGTGACTAGGGTTCATAAACAAAGGGATTTAACTCCTAAATGGCAGAGGATTGAGCAGTGAGACTACAGGGGCATGTTCTATACACCAAAACTGCTTCATTAGGCTAAAGTTGTTCAGGTGACTATAGTGTCCCTTTAAGATCTTGGAGAGCATCGGTATTGTACCGTTCATGAGTAGACAGGAGGCAATATAAAAAAGGCAGGTATTTGCCATGACACATCCCACCTCCCTGATAGGGTAGATGGTCCTCATGTTTTCCTGTGGGCTAAAGCCCTAGTTGTTTCTGCACCCAAGAACGTCCCCGATGCTTACCCCTTTTATTTAGCCCATCGCTTGTTGCAGGGCCCTTCAATGACCCGTTAAGTGAATAAGTATGTTTACTCTGTTTTTACAGGAATGACTAGTGCAGTGGAATTATATTGTAAATCCATTTGCACAAGAGGATATTGTGCACTATAATAACCAGGTTTTCTATAATCTAAAAGTGTAAGCCCATTACATAGGAGATATTCAATAAATATAAAGAATAGGAGAAAACAGGAGGAGAAAGAAGGTTTATGACGCAAATCTAGTGTAAAAGTAAGCTCAAGGAACTAGGAATAAAAAGCGGCAGTTGAAGATCTGCCTAGCATGTCAATATCAGAATTTACATGGTTTGAGATTAGAATTTACATGGTTTGAGATCTAATGTTATTCATGAAGAATGCAAGTAAGAAAACAATAAATATAAAATGCTGTTGCATTGATGTTGGTGTGCCAAACGACAGGTGCCTGCTCCGGGGCTGTTTGAAGTGGCTGTTGTGCAGGTCGACTACAGAGTACCTGTACTGCCCTGTACTGATGCCAGAGCGCGAATACGATGTCACCCAGCCCTAGCACCACTACAGAGCAACAGAGAGCTGGGCAATCAGTATTAAGGAGACTGATCCATACAACTCGGTGGTGAGGTTCCACTTCTCCTCTCCCATTAAAGTTAAGTAAAGAGGCTGGGTGAATAATAATAAAATTAATATATGTGTGTGTGCATGTAAATATGTATGTATGAGCCACTGTGTGTATATGAATGTGTGTTTGTGTAGATGCATCTGTGTGTGTGTATTAGTCAGTGTGTATTTGAGTCTGTGTGTCTATAAGAATGTGTGTTTGTATGAGTCTATGTGTGTATATGAATGTGTGTATGACTATGTGTGTTTTTGTATCCATTTGTATTTGCGTATGAGTCAGTATCAGTGTGTGTATCTGTGAATATTTGTCCATGTGTGTGCACACATGAATGTATGTATATGAATTTGTATAAAAATATGAATATCAGTATGTGTGTTATTTCCCTAATAAAAAATGGTTGAGGGTGGTACAGAGAAGACACACAATTTTTATTTTGCAGTCCGTGGGGGGAGGGGCTTTGCCCAAATACATTTCCACCCCAGGTGCTATGTAATCTTGGTATTCCTGTGGCTTGGTGTGTGTGCTACCTGATGTGTGCAGAGTCCACATGAATCAGCATTGGATATGTTATATCTTAAATGTAAACAAATGATATGTAAAGTCAACAACTCTCATTAGGACCATCAAACTTTCAGCTCCATGTATGTGAAGGTCCCTATATCCAGCAATGTACAGTATTGTGTACCTTAAAACTTAGAGACATTATGATTCTGAGCTGGGGACAAGGGCACACAAAAGGGCACATGCTTGAGAAATATTACAGATGCTCTGTGTAAATTGAATCAATAGTATAATTTATCTAATGTGATTTTTCTATTATGCTTTGTATTTTAGCAGTCCGTAGATATCATTACCGCACACTGAGTATTGATTGCACGGACTCACCTATTGAAGAAATGTGAACTGCTCTAATGAATTTGATTCCTTTCTGACAACTCAACTTTGATTTAGTATTTAGTAAAAATGTCTTAAAGTGAAATTGTTGTCTACAAATGTGTGGAAACCCAGATTCACTTCAGATTTGTATTATTCACGGTGAGTTAAAATTCAAATGCAGAAAGAGTTATTCACTAAACTCAAAATTGTTGCAAATTGAAATCCAAATTGATCAATAAAATTAAAATTCTTAGCTATAGGCACAGTTTTGTTATTTATTCCAAAGTTTTGCATTCAGATTTTAACTTTCTACAATTCAAATTTTAGTGTTATATAATGATGATATTACTTGAAGGTTCAGAAATAATTTATCATAGTGCAATGATCTGAAAAGTGATGCAGAGTTGTAAAAGTGGGGCAATCACCATGCTAACAGTAGAATTTGCAAGCACATATCATTGGAGATTACACTATTAAGAATTCTTACCACTACAGATCATGACATGTTGATTGATCGCCACTTAGAGTGTCTGTTATGGTACAAGAATTGCCTTCAGCACGCTGAAATGCTTTCGTGTACTGCAGGTCGGTTTACTTAAGCTGTCAGTAATTTAGATTTTTATTCAATAGTGTAATTTTTATTCAATATTGTAATTTCCAGAAAAGTGATGGTTCTAATCTAAATTAGGCAATGATGGCTTTTGCCCACCGCTATCACATTATCTTCTTGGCAGAAATACACACTTTTGAGTCATTTATGCACATTTGCTTTTGAGCACGTCTTGCCAATATTTAGTGAGCCATTTAATGCTATACAGAATCACATTTTTATCAGCAGGTTACATAAACATTTCATGCACATCCTCTATGTTCTGTGTGTTCTTATTATGCCTCAATGGCAGCAGAGAGAATGTTTCCTTGTCACTGTTATTGACGGTCAGATGTTGCTGACCCGTCCCATGTTAAGCGTGGTTGAAGAACATGTTTTTTATTTCCATATTGAATTCAATATATGAAAAGCTTGTAGCAATTTTTGGTTTCTAAAAACAATTAGCCATTATATATCGATTAAACCTATTGTGGCTATCACCAAAACATGTTAATCAGTCAACTGGGTCTCCAACAATTGGAGATGTAAAAATATGAAATGCCAAGGTGTGTACAAAGTGACATAAGTAAATAAAATTTTGGAGGATCCGGGTCAATTCTCAGTATCTAAAACATGGGTTGTGCAACATGTCATCTTGTTGGATAAGAGTTTTTCATACCCTTTGATTTACAGTCTTTCACTCACTGAATTGTACTTCATGAAAACCTGATACCCACCTGTGAAAGTCTTGCTAAACTGTCATCTCCCTAATGATCTGATAAACAAAAGACAGAAATAATGTTGCAGTAAGCTGTAATATGAAATACATTCATGAAACTGTATAGTCTAATATAATCTTTTTAAGTCAAACCAATGTGTTGTGCACGCAAATTACCAACATATAGCCTTTTAAGTTGGATGTAATAAGAGTTCTGGACCCTATGTAGAAAACCTCTAGTCCCATCACAGTCAGTCTTTTCTTCAAGGCCTAATGCTTCTGTATCTCTATTTCCATCGAACTGCAAGTTTATTTTTTGTTCTCCAGCCTGCCATTTCTATTAATTCTTGTCTACACACCAGCCATTTTTCTCCTTAATCTCATTCTCCTCTCTCTCTCTGAGCATTCCACGGATTCTCTGTATTTGTCTTTCTTTCTTTCTTTCTCACTCCATGTTTACGTATTGTTCTCTGGACAATCTTTTCTTTCCTTTACCCACATTTCCTCCTGTGAGCTCCTCCAGCATCTCTTTTTCTTCATTAATTATGACTGTAAGAGAATAATGGGAGACGTAGTCCACAACATCTGGAGTGCCAAAGGTATCCTACTCCCATTCTATAATGTCCTGGCAGTTTACCATAAGATTCTAGATGGTACCAAAACAAATGATGATATAGCCCAGAGGAGGCATGGATCTCTGATACCACTCACTAAAGTATGGACAATATATAGTTCAAAAATATTTCTGAACCTGTTAAACATCTTGGGATCTTCGAGAGATGTTCTATCAACAAATACCTTGTATACAGTTAATTAAAACTATTTTCTAACGTTGTAATGCATGAGTAAAATGGGCAGTATACCCAACAAAACACTACAGTTCATTGTATTGGGTCTATGGACCCACCCCCGCTGGAACTTGGCTCTAGGGGAGCGCAAGGTTTTACCACGCCACTTGAAAATGGTTTTAAACGGACTGTATCCATAGACTATTTGTATCTTAATCAATACAGTGGGCTGAAGTGGTTATGGTACTTAAAGTACCACTTTAAGGAAAAAAATGAGACATTAAAATAAATATTTTCTTTGAAATTATATAAAATGTGTGCATCAACAGAGAAGCCAAAAGTCAAAAGCAGCAGATAAAATGAGCTTTAGTGTAACAATGTGTCTGAAATTACAGTTTACAGGCAGACAGTGGTTATTGTCAGACAGAAAGAATAAGATGTTTCTTCTCCATGTAAGCCATAAGAGACAGGTAATCAAAATTAATAATCCAGGTTTTCTGTTAGAAAGTGTTCTTTTTTGCTTTTGCCTTTGTCTGACTCATCCCACAAGGTCATTAGCTTTAGATCTCATATCTAAAGGTTCTTGCTCATGAACTTTATTGAAATGTCATGAGATTGATTCTTGTAGGGCACATCTCTTTTACAGTGAGCTTATTCATTGAATATATTTATTGTATCTCTGCTTGGAGATTCTGAGTTGCTATGGATGTGTGATTACCTATCTAGGTGTGTTCCTTTTCTGCTTATCCCAACCCAAGGAAAAGAGAATTGGTTTTTTTTTTACATGTGACTCTTGTGACAAACTTTCCCAGGACATGGGTGGGGTGTGGTGGTAAATTCAGGTAGACTTTAATAAAGAAACAAAATTAAAAGAAGGGCACAGGAGCTGGGATTTCTGCTTAATCATGGTGTATGTTTTCAATATTACCAAACAATGCTCTCAGAATACATTTTTATTTTCAGTTTTTAAATGTGTATTTTCAAATTAACAGGAGTCCAATCACATATTCTCCATGCCTAGAGTATTATCAATGTGATAGCTGTACCTGTCTCACTTATCTTATATTGCAGCAGCAATATATCCCTGTCTCTGTCACAATGCCGCAACCTGTACCAAAGTTTATATAATGTCTTCAAACAATTTGTATGTAGCATGTAGTGTATCTCTCATATTTTTCTTGTGAACGAAATCTTATCTACGTTCTGAACCTGTTAATCTATGGATTAATAAAAATGTCTTTTTTATATGTGAGTTTCTTTATTTTGTGTTACGTGATTTTGTTTTTGCAGTTTTGTTCCACATATTCTTCAATAATATATTAACTCCAGCTCCAACCTTTGCCAGGGTGTCTTTAATGAATACTATTGTTCAGTGATGACCAATCTTGGCAGGTGTTTGTGGGCTACATATTTTCGTCAAGTCATTATCTACTTCAGTGTGCGCTTGACATTAAATATGAGTCACTAATGCATGTAGATGGCAATGATCAAGTTAATAAAGGAACTTCTGTTTTATGTAAATGTCAGAACATGACACAACATGGCAAAACTTTAATGAGCTTCATCTTACCTTGTCTAGTCATTTTCAACAGCCATTAAATGCCTTTGCTGATAGGAAAAAATTACTTTTTTTCATGTTATTCACAATAATGGATTGCATCATGTGGCCAGAGTCCAAGACTGGCATTCCTACCGGTTTCTTCATCTGCCTTTAGCTGAATATGGTGGCACCAAGTGAAAAATGCTTCAGGTAAGTGTATATCCCTTACCCCAAGGCACCCTTCTTATGTAAGACCCCAAAATTGACAGCTGCTTTAAGATTTCTGTGTGGAGGCTGGCACTTACGTTTTGTCCAGAGTTGAATAGAGTATAAACACGTTTGGAGAAAACCTTACTCAGTGAGCACATCACATCAGCAAATGTCTTCAAACTTTACAGTCTAACTTTCTTCCCTGGCATGTGGGAGAGTTATGAAAATGTCTTGATCTGAAAAGTGGTTCAAGCCAGTAATATGGGGCAATTACCAGTGGCATATACATACTGAGTCCATAGAATTTCCAAAGTGATTGCTCAGGTTTTAGACCTTTTGTACCACTTATCGCAACACAACAGTCTGACACATCTCCCCTCATTGTGTTCAAAGAAATAAACTTTTTGATAAGCATCCCTACCAACTCCCTTTCTTTCTGGTTTGGCCTAATTGTAATTCCCTCGAAACACCTGGCTGGAGTGTGTGTATTGGTTTATTAATGTGTTTCAGGTTATAATTAAAGATACTATTCCATTGGCAGTGGATTATATTTAAAAAGGCTTGAGAAAGAGAAAGACCTCTCACTTGTTGCATGTTGAGTGAATATAGCAAAATGACTATTTGGGAAGCCCCTCAATTATTATAGGGTCTTTTGTAAATCTGTTCATCTAAGGGAAGAGGTATCTCACTCATCATCGCCTATTTTTAGGCGGGCCTTTCACATTGCACATGCCTGGTAGGGGGGTAAAGAGAATCTTGGTTCTCATGGTCAATGGAGGGTCCATTGCACCCCCAAACATGTATATTTTGGTGTAGTGATGTGTTTTGGAGCCCACTGAAAGCATAGCACTTTACACTGCTCTCCACCATGGGAGTGAATGGGTGATTGTAGTGAGCTTTGTACGGGACTATCAAACTACAACTGGCAATTTGAGTTGGAACACTAGAAGTAAGCAGAATTTGAGTGTTTAAAAGCCAGTTCTGATTAAATAATGGCAATTACATGGAGACCAATGTTTTCAGATCAAGGGCTAAAGCAAAATATTGACAGTATATAAAATGAATTGAAGGAGGCGCCATTTAGGTATGCAAGCAGGAAAGGGAAGGGGGCACTCCTCTGCTGCTACATATATTATATTGAGAGATATGAATATGGGGAAGGGGTGAGACAGGTTAAAAAGTTGCAATGACATGACGCTGCCCAGAAAAAGAGAGATCCAGCCTAAAAAGGGGACATGGTAGTCAGGTGAAGCAGCCTGCCCTGACTAGTACCACTGAGGTAGCTCATATTTAGAGTAATGTTAATGCACTCTTGAATGGGCTCAATTGATGAGCTTGTGCAGAGAGAGTTTTATCTAATTATGAGCTGCACGTTCTGAGGACAATTCTCTAATATCTCCAGAAGTGACACTTTATATAACAAACATACGATAGTGAGACAGGATCCCGAAACCCAGACTGTCCTAGCACATCTGGAACTGTTGGGAGGTCTGCAGGAAGTTGAAGGTCCAAAACAGGTAGAGCCTAAAACAGAAGTGGTTAAGAAATTTGGGTTAGACACACTACTGTCATGATAAGGAAGGAATAAAAAATCAAAATAAAACCATCTGCTTTCTGACAGAAAAGGGATTAGATGATCCAATTGGCTTTTGTCTGCTTTCAAAAACCATGTTTCTGTAATTCTATATAGTATAATAAAAATAAGTTTCATAGGTTTTATATTATCCCTTTAGGAACTATAAAAATTTAAAAAGCAACCATAACTTTCTATAGCCATTTGAAAGCAGTGCTGAAGTAGAGCTACTGTTATATGTCTCAGAATTCAAATTAGTGCAAAAAAGAGAGATAACCATCAAAAACAGAAAGAAAATCAATACTGGGGCTCGTTAAAACATCTAATTATATTAACTTAACACAAGTAACTTTCTATAACAGTGCAACTGAAATAAACTGAGCATTTAACCGTGATTGTATTTCTGTACGCACAGAATTCTTAGATGTTCCCATCCCAACGCCCACCCACCAAAAAAGGTACTATATCTTTTAGAGCCAGGAAGGAGATCACACTCTCTCTTCTAGTCTGCAAAACCTCTGAAAGTGTCCTGTGGAATCTGGCACCAAGACATTAGCAGCAGATCCTTTGAGTCCTGCAGATTGCAAGGCAGGGCCTCCATGGATCAGATTTGTTGTTTCAGCACATTCCACAGATGCTGAATAGGATTGAAATCCGGGGAACTTGGAGGCCAAAGCAACACCTTGAAGTCTTTTACATGTTCCTCAAATCATTCCTGAACAATTTTTGCAGTTTGGCAGTGTGCATTATCTTGTTAAAAGAGGCCACTGCCATCAGGGAAAACCATTGCCATAAAGGGGTCTACATAACCTGCAACAATCTCTAGTTAGGTGCTTTGTGTCAAAGTAACCTCCACATGAATGCCAGTACACAAGGTTTCCCAGTAGAACATAGCCCAGACCATAACACTGCCTCCGCCAGTATGGCTTCTTCGCAAGGCCGGCCTCATGGAGACCCAAGCCAAGATTGGAGGCATCCACCAGCAGAACAAAGCTGTGGAGGTGAGAGAGACAGCCAGGGATGGCCAGATTGATGGACTTACCCAACAGGTACAACACCTGAATCGCGCAGTGGATGTACTGGAGGCCCAACATAGATGCCAAAATATCCACCTTTGCGGTATCCCAGAGACGGTGGGAGGTGAGGCACTACTGCCGTGTGTCCAACAGATAATCATCTCTATGGGAAGTAAGGGGTGCTCTGACCCCCCACAGATAATATCAGTGTTTCTGGTTCGCAAGTCCACTACAA